AATATACCGTCTACGGTCATCGACGCCGACATCTCGAGCCTGTCAAGTTTCCCTGTGGGTTTGGAGCACGTCGTCGCCGCGTCGACGCACGCAGGGGTGCCAATCGTGCTGGGACCGCCGTCGGTGGGCTCTGGTGAAGAGGTAGCTAGGCCTGGTAAGCACTGACTTTCTCTGCTTTCTTCCCGCTCGTCAGCCCGTTCGTGAAGTGTTGTTTGCTTCGTCGATTTCGGGGAGGTGTATAGGCGGCCCCCAACTAGATTGTGACGATGTGCTTCGTGAGGTGCTATTTGCTTGGTTGCTCTTGCGAACTTGTGTTGTTGATCTCCTGCTGAACTGTCTGGGTGGCTATTTCTTGTACAGGTCGACGAACTCGTGGACAAACACCCATGTCGCAGGAGCCGCCTGCCCTCGCCAGGTTTTCAGTCCTGGTTGAGGGAGGCACTGGTCGTCGCAATGTCACTGATGCGTTCCCTGGGGACACTAAGCCTCGAGGCTCTCCCAGAAGGTAGTCGTGCCCGTATTGGGCTCCCGCGCAAGACTCGTTGCAGAGGCAGCGGGTATTGCCGAAAAAGATTGCAAGGAATTCCTTCTCGAGGAGGACAGTGCTAGTTTAGAATCAACTGTGTGTAGAAGGTCTAGAAGTAGGGGTGACGTTATGCGTGAACTTTTCGGACCACAGAGTAGCGGTTCCTCGGACCATGGCCGCTAGGACGACATTTTCTCATAGTGCACCGTCCTTTGTGCTTGTTGTGTGCTGCGGGTGTTTGTTGAACAGGGTTTCCTCGAGATGGAAGAGTGGTCCTTGAAGACGTTATCTGCTCCCGGTTGCCGCTCACTATCATCGTCGCGCGTTTGCCGTCTCATAGTTTATAGGTATCCGTCAAGGACATCATCGCACTCGTGGATAGATCCGGGGAGCTCAACGATGAGGTTGTCAATTTCTACATGGCGATGCTACTGGACGACTGCAGCCGGACTGCCGCTACCATGAAGACATACACATTTAACTCCTTCTTCGCCTCTTCACTGCTTCTGCGAGGTCCGGCAGCTGTTCTCAGATGGGCTAAAGATGTCGACCCCCTGTCTCATGACCTCGTCTTGGCACCAGTGCACAAGGACGGCGAACACTAGAGTCTTTTGGCCATTGACTTCTCTAGACGTGTTTTGGAAATCTATGATTCTTTCTCGTGCTCGTCATCCAAAGATTCCTTCTACTCCGCACTTCTGGATAAAATTGTTAAATTCTTGAACACGGTGGCAGGTGCCGCTGGTGATGGTCGCACTTTCGACCACTTCGCTCGCGAGGTCAACGTGAAAGGTGTCCCTCGGCAGCACGACGGGGCTAGCTGTGGGGTGCTCATGTTGATGTTCGCTTCCTGTTTGGCGAGAGGTTTACGTCCACCTTTTGGTTTCTCCCATAGACACATCTCCTCAATCAGAGCTAGACAAGCTTTGGTGATTTGCGATGTTGGTAGGTAAGCGTCTATCTCTTTGTGGATCATGTAGTGTAGAAGGGTTGACGTAGAAGAACATTTCGTTCTTCTCCGGACGAAATTTGTTCTTTTTCATTTTTTCCGTGAGGGACTGGTGGGTGTTATCGGTTTGGTTCAGAGCAGAACTGGCTGTCACTGCCAGGAAATCTCCGGGTGAACTTGTCATGTCCTCGGCGTGTTTGTCGTCGACAATATTGTTCTTTCTCATTGGATTTCAATTATCACGAACGTCCCCGTTGTTGGGGCGCCTGTTTCGTGATTGAATATCTCGCTTTCGTCATTTTGTGCCTTGTGTGGTGTGATGTTCTGCCCACATACTCGGATGCATCCAGACTCGAACTAACTCTATGCTTTTCCGCCTCTCTCCCGAACCTCCCCCGTCGTCTACACTCATCTATGCATTTTCACTTTGAATGTTGTGAGGCGTCACAGAGAACAAAATACAACACACGGGCCTCTTTATATATTTGATGGCCCGTCTGGCCCTCCGCACTGTGTGCTTTGTGATTCCGACATTGAATGCTGTCAATTCTTTGGCCCGGCAAAGCTCCCCTTCTGCACGAGCATTCATACATTCGGTTCCTATGCATTACCCAATACAATGAAAAATTTGAATGTGCCGAGATGGAAAACCCAAAAGGCGACGCCAATGGCTGCTCGAATGTGACGAGATTTGAATTAAGGTGGCGCGGCTGAAAATACAATTGCATGATTGGACAAAATTGGATGTGGTGACGGAAGGATAAATCACAAGGCGAAGCCGATTGATACTACAAAGTGACACAAACTGAATTGAGCTGGCACTCATGAAAAATATGGCCACTGTATGATTGGTGAACGCCTCAATTTCCGAAAAACGAATTCAAGAATCATCTCTCTCTCTCTCTCTCTCTCTCTCTCTCTCTCTCTCTCTCTCTCTCTCTCTCTCTCT